TAAACACACACAGTGTAAATCCTTTGTACCCATGGATCTATAATAATAACTGGATAGGGTATTATCAGCTTACAGCTGTCCCACCCACGGGCACAGGGGGCACTGTGGTACTGCAGACTACATTCACATGGGCTGCCCAGAAAAAAGTCCCATAGAAGTCAATGTAAATTAAAACAGCTTGACCTCAGCTGACAGAGAACCTACAGCTTTTATAAGGATCAGATTTTGTGGGGATTTTAGTGTCCCTTGTCATCCTGAACTTTTTTTTCTTCTTAAATCCTTTGGTTTTCTTTAAATCCACACTTTGCTGCCACAAATTCTGCTGCTTTCCTTCCTGCTCTGACTCCGCTCTACCGCTGCTCTGATCAGCAGCTCTGATTGGCCAAAGCGCGGCCGAGCCCCTCTGTGCGCGTGCGAGAGAGCCACACACGCGTGTTTGGTGCAACGTATCATGGGAGCTCGGCCACTGCGCAGAACCGGGAGGACTGGACAATGCCCAAATATAGGCAAGTTCTGCTAATCTCCCGGTCCCCGTGAAGTCCCACGCGCTACTGAGCACAAGCCATTCATTTGAATAGGGCGCCATCTTGGATCACCGAGGCTTGTTTGTACCCCAGACCCTTCACATACGCCCCCACCTGGACACACTGTAATTGGAATATTTTCTCTTCATTCAGATACATTTCATGACATTAGTTCAACACGTCTAGGGACAGTTCATTTTAAGGACATTTTCGTCGTAAATATCCCATTTAACTCCCAGTGGGCTGGAACGGTGCTGGATGCAGTGAGTCCCAGAGAGAGGTGCTGTGCAGACTTGGCCCCCAAGTCAGAGGATGAGAGGCACTAAGCTGTGGTTTATAAATCAATACAACGACGTCGATACATCCACTTTATTTCAGCCGTATAAGGTCAGACAAGAGATTTTTCACATTTCTCAAGATTACGGGAGATGTGGAGGCGGCGTGGCAGCAAAGAAAGAAGTAAATAAAAAGAATAGAAGATGCCTTATCCAGTCCGTGCAGCAAAAAGACTTTCCAAACATAGTGGGTTCTATTTTACAAACTACATTTTTTATTGATTATGTTTCATGCACGCAAGAACAAAAGAAAAAAATACAGTCCAGCATGGAAAAGTTTCAATGTACATCTAGGAAAAAATGCATTGCTTCTTCAGAGTGTAAACAAAGTGGGCTCTTACTAAAGGTTTGGACCATGATGCAGAGGATACACACAGAAGGCACAGATGCAGCAAATGCACTCATGCCCACATCCTTTCCAAAAATTAGAAGTTTATGGTACTCAAACAAGGGAAAGTATTGTTTTTGTTACTGAATGTTGCTTTCCCAATGAGCCAGGAATGCGGCAGTGAACCAGGAAAAGTATTTTTTTTCCCTTGCAACATGTCCGCTCTGGCTAGCAAAAGGCGATACCTGTTCCATTTTGCCACTGGCTTCACATTCCCGGTTCGGTGAGGCCAAGGGATGCACCTGTCAGAGTTCTGGTTCCTGTTTGTTCTCCCCCCGACCATCTGGGTCTGCCTGGAGCTGGGTGCTGGTCTGGAGTCCTGGTTCAGTCATTGGTTCAACACACTGCACACCTGATAAGATAAGTTAAGATATAATAGATGGATAACTTTATTTGCAGACTCAAGGTCCAGATCAACACAGACACAGATGCAGCCTCCTCATCATCCTCTTCATCCACACATCTGCAGTGTAAAGACCCTGTTCCCCTTCATTCTTGTTTTTTGGTTTTCCTTTTGACGATCTATCATTTTGCTTCCCCGGTTGATCATCTGTGGAATGTATTGTCCCCTTACACTGACTGGCTAAGGGTTTGCTGACAAGAAGAACAAGTGTAAACTGTAAACCATATGATCGTCATTGTCATGTTTGAAACTGGAGTCGCCTACTGTCCCTCTAATTGCCTTCTGAAGACGCAATAGAAAAAACCCAGACAAGCATTTCATCTGCTCTGCTAATTCTTCTTTGTCAGAAATTGCACAATGACTCATCAGACAGAAGCGAACTGAGACAAAAAGCGAGAAAATAGAGCAATCAAAAGTTTGAATTCAGGGGAAAATACATGGCTTTGATGGAGAGTAATTGTGAGTCATAATCCAATCACGTCTGGGTACGGCGATACGTTAGAAGGCGCAGATTTGAGACTAGAGAGACAGAGTTCAACGCAGATGTTTTTGATGCAGACTGTGATAAACAACGGCTGCTGCGCCCCGAGGTGGCTCCGGGGCCCGTGGCATCATTAGCATGACCTCACGACTAAAAAATGCTTTGTGTGTGATTGTCATGCATCACACACAATAACGTCATTTAGAAGTGTGGACGCAAAATGAGAAGAATTGTCTTTCACCATTGTTCATAAACAGTAAAATGTTCAAATCAATGTATTTTAATTATTTTTGTATAGCTCTGTATCCCAACAGTATTTATCTCGGAGGACTTTACAAAACTGTTGAATTTGCCAACACAGAATCGAACACAAGAAATGCATAAAAAAAAGAGACATATAGTTATGAAAAATATGTTAAAAGAATAAATTAAATAAATGTCCACTTTGGAAACATTTATCTTACTTTGAGCACACTCTGACTGAGTTTAAACACGATTTGCCAACGGGACAAAGCACACTTGTTTTAAAAAGACATAAGAAATGTCTCGGCAATGTCTTGGAATGAGAAAATAGAGCAACACTACTTGATATAAGACTCAAGCAGCTTTGTTCCATTGCCAAAGTTTGTTTTGAGACAGTCAGAATGTACTCAAATCAGGATGAAGCACATAATGGCTTAAATCAAGCAAGCAAAAGAATAAATTGGTTCTGTCTTTCCAGGGGTATATAGGAAAATGGGAAGTATTGAGTTCAGACTTAAATGTAAATGGAAAGTGGAAACCTTGCTTTTAAATTGTTGTTTTTTTATAAACGGGTTCTCCAATGATTATTTTACCCCACATCAATGGAATAACAGATGTCCTGTACCAAAGCACCTAACACTGAATGGACAGAGGTGTGTTTGGTCTGTATGCCACCTGCTGGACAACCAGGGGAACTAATTATCGTTTGAATTATCATTAAAAATGCCTCAATCCTGAAATAAAACAACTGTATACTTTGAACATGTTTTACACTGCAGCAATTGTTGAAAAATAAGTTCAAATTGCTAACATTTGACCAAATACATTTTAGTTTGAGCTCATTTTGACTGCCTTAAAACAAGATTTGAAGACTGCAAACATTACAAAATAAAGTGATTTTCTTTTTCAGAAGAATTAGTTAAAATAAAATGATTTTTAAAAAAACAGTCATTAAAACATACAAATTAACACAATAGCATATTTCAATCCTTGGATAATCACCAGTTATATAAGTAATACTCCATCAGTTTTGCTCAGTGCTTTTTGGACTCTCAAAGACGCTTTACATGTCATTATTCATTCACTCCATACATGGTGATGATAAACCACTACTGTAGCCACAGCTGCCCTGGGGCACACTGACAAAAGGGAGGCAACCATTATGTGCTATCGACCCCTCTGACCACCACCAATAATTCATACACACACCAGACTCGTTCAAGGCATTGTGGGGGTTGATGTTTTTGTATGATTGTATTAGCCTGGCCTTAGTCATCTATAAACTCCAGTCAATTATAATTTCTCAAAATGAAATTTGTACAATGGTGTGGTACAACCAGGCTATGATTGTATTAATATATATTATTTATATGAATATTAATAATCTGGTATAGTTCACCAGAAACAAACAAAAATGTCTTTTTAAAACACATTTTCAAAGCAAGTGATATTTTTGTGTAACATAAGTCTTATATAGTCATATCTTCCAATAGCCTTCACTTGTAAAGTGAAGGAGTCTTTGGCCTGAAACACGGATCTCTGATTCACTCTGCTCTGCTCTGAGCCAAGAAGAAAACTTTTCTTGTATCCTCTGCATTGTGGATCAAAATCTGCTAAAGGTTCCACGCACTTGTTTTCGTACAAGAGGTGACCGATCCTTCCAGGCTGTTGCTCCCAGGCTTTGGAACAATCTTCCGCCCTCTTTGCGCTCTACTGACTCGGTTGATACTTTTAAAAGCAATCTTAAGACTCATTTATTTGTTCAAGCCTTTAATTAGCTATTTTTGGGCTGATACGATTTCTGTGTTGTTTTGACCCTTTTTATATTGTATTTAATTTTGTGATGTTTTACTGTGTTGTGAAGCACTTTGTGGCCTTTGTCTGTGAAAGGTGCTATACAAATAAAGATTACTTACTTACTTACTCTGCGTGTGCATGCCAAGCCCCGCCAATCCAAGATGCCTATTCAAATCAATGGCTTGTGCTTACAGCTCTCAGAAAGGTCGGATATTGTGGAGATTTAACTGTCCTTGTCACCCTGAACTTTATTTCTTAAATCCTTTGGTTTTCTTCAACTCCACACATTAGTGCCACAAACTCTGCTAACTCCCTCAGCCGAGAAGAAACTGGCAAAACGACCAAATCGCTTACTTCTGCTTTAAGGGAACACTAACTCTATACTAAAATAAAATAAAATCTCTAGCTTTAGCATGATAAAGAAACAAGTATAAAATATCTAGCTTTAGCAGAATAAAGAAACAAGAATTAAGTATTAATTGCTCCGGCGTGTGTTTTCTATTTTGCTCTATTCTGCCACAGAGTTTCAACCTCCATCCAACGCTGGGTAATGTTAGACTTTGTTATTCTGGCTTTCCTCCATAACACCGATAAAATTAGCTTTAAAATCCTTGACCTTTCCCTGTGACATCAGAGATCAGATCAAATCCATGTTCCGTGGAAGGTTGTTTTCCGATGGGCCACTTCCTGTCTCTGCGTTCTCTGGGTGATCGCTATGGAGACAACATGGGTTTGACCAAATCCAGGATGTGACCTCGAGATAGAGATAAACCAGATAAAAGAGCAGCAGAGGAAGACGACAGAAGTCTGTGAGAACTGAACCAGAGACATGATCCGACTGCTGCTGCTGCTGGTGACCTACTGCTGCTGCTGCTGCTGCTGCATGGAGGCCAGCACAGGTACTGCGACTACCACTACTACGACTACTACTCCCTCTACTGCTGCTGCTACTACTGTTGCTGCTGTGTGTTCCTGTAGTACTAAAACTAACACTACTACCACTCCTACTTCTGACAGTTTGTTCACGCTACTCGTCTCCCGCTCTGTGCTGCCCAGGGCCCAGCACACGGCAGCGTAGTAAATGGCAGAGGCTACCACAGAGTCATAAAAAGTCCTGAGCAGAGGCCTGCTCACTCCGAAGGACCTCAGCCTCCTCAGAAAGAAGAGGCGACTTTGGCCCTTCTTGTGCAGGGCGTTTGTATTATGGGACCAGTCCAGTTTATTGTTAATGTGAACACCCAGGTACTTGAAGCTGTCCACCAGCTCAATGTCCTCCCCCTGGATGTTCAGCAGCGTGTGGGTAAGTGGTTTTCTCCTGAAGTCGATGATCATCTCCTTGGTCTTACTGGTGTTCAAGCACAAGTGGTTGCGCTCACACCAGTCGACAAAGTCTGTGATAACCGACCGATATTCCAGTTTGTTCCCCTCAGACACACAGCCCACGATGGCGGAGTCGTCGGAGAACTTCTGCAGGTGACAGCTGTGTGTGTCGTGTGTGAAGTCTGAGGTGTAGATGGTGAAGAGAAACGTGAGAGGACAGTGCCCTGAGGGGCCCCAGTGCTGCAGATGACCACCGCAGACTCACAGCTGCGCAGCCGCACGTACTGTGGTCGGTCTGAGAGGTATTCGATGGTCCATGCGGTGAGGTTACTGTCCTCCATCTTCCTCCGCAGCAGTGCCGGCCTGATGGTGAAATAGCACTACTACTACTACTACTACTACTGCTACTGTTGCTGCTATGGGAAGGGTAGCAGAAGCAGAATGTCTCTGCTATTACTACTATCCATCCATCCATCCATTTTCTACCCTTTAATCCATTTCTGGGTCAGGGGGGTGGCAGTCAGAGATGCCACCCAAGTCTCATAGCACCAGCCCCTCACTGATCCTCTGCAGGTGGTGAGTCCACAGGAGGACGGCTGCTCTTTGACTGTGAGCATAGCCTTGATCTTTCAGTGGGGGCTTTGGGCAAAGTGGGGTTAAGTGTCTTGCCCAAGGACACAACGACAGCAGACATCAGTGGGAGTCGGTGGAGAAGGTGTAGAGGTGGCTATTACTACTATTACTATGTATTTATCTTAATTTGTCTTAAAACAAGATTTGCCAATGGGACAAAGCAAAATTATCTTCTATTAAAAAGTTAAGAAATGTATCCCTTGGAATGAGAAAATGAAGCAGCAGTTCTTGAAATGAGACTGAATGGCTTGGTCCCATTGGCAAATCTTGTTTTAAGAGTGTCAGAATGAACACCCATCCATCCATCCATTTTCTTCCGCTTCATCCGTTGCCGGGTCGCGGGGGCAGCAGTCTAAGCAGAGACGCCCAGACTTCCCTATCCACACACACCCAGGCCAGACAGAGACATAATCCCTCCAGCGTGTCCTGGGTCTTCCCTGGGGAGGCGTTCAGGAGGCATCCAGAACAGATGCCCAAGCCACCTGAACTGGTTCCTCTTGAACCAGCGGCTCTACTTCGAGCTCCTCCCGTGTGACTGAGCTCCACACCCTATCTCTGCGGAGGAAGCTCATTTCGACCGCTTGTATCCGCAATCTCGTTCTTTCGGTCATTACCCAAAGCTCAGATTGACCGGTAAATCGAGAGCTTTGCCTTTCGGCTCAGTTCCCTCTTTACCACAACGGTCCGATACAGCGACCGCATCACTGCGCACGCTGCACCGATCCGCCTGTCAATCTCACGCTCCATCCTTCCCTCACTCGTGAACAAGACCCCGAGATACTTGAACTCCTCCACTTGAGGAAGGACCGCTCCACGCACCTGAATGAACTCAAAGTAAGAAAAAACACTTCATTCAAGCTTTTATGACCTTATATTTGAATCCTTCGTTGGCGTGAAAACATGTGTTAAAAGTGAAGTGTGCATGAGCAGTGACCGTGACCATGTTGCAGGTGACTGTGATCCCTGCACTCTGCGACGACATCCTTTTTTGCCAGTGAACCAGTGCCATGGCTGCTGCTTCTCCAGAGACTTCCCCACCGGACAAGACACACTCGAGACCATGTTGGTCCAAAAAAATTACACCTCCAAGGCCTCCTGCTGCATGCACTACGGGGAACCAACGGTAAACACTCTGCAATGTGACAAGTCCAAGGGTGATACAATGGGCCATGAACCTACACTGCAAGAAATATCTCCCTTAGAATGAGAAAATAAGTAAGTCATGCTTATTTATATAGCGCATTTTACAGACCAGGGCTTGTTCCGACCGGGATTCGACAGTGCTATCCACTCAGCCACCGTCCCACTGTTGAGATAAAGCAACAGTTCTTGAAATAAGAATAAATGGTTGTGTCCCATTTTCCAATCTTATTTTAACAGAATGTACTCAAATAACAAAGAAAAACCACTCGATTCCAGCAATTATCAGCTCATATTTCAAATTTTTGCAGTCTGATCAGTTAACTATAGAACTCACAGAAAAATTGTTTTAGTTTTTTCAATAACACTTTTGTCAAAATTATGTATTTATATACTGCCAAAATAATCAAATATGAGGAAATAATTACTTGAAAATTGTGGTTTTCATCTTTTTCTGACAGTGTTAAAACAAGATTTGCCTTTCAAGAACTGTTGTTTTATTTTCTCATTCCAAGGGAGACATTTCTTTTATCTTTTTAAAACAAGATTTTGCTAATTATCCCATTGGCAAATCTTGTTTAAGGCAGTCAACACGTGCTCAGATGAAGATTCAAATTTGAGCAATTTCTTGCTTATTTGTCTTTACTTTTTGCAGTGTAAAAAGTAAAATTGTGTTGTATGTGAATGTAATTGTGAAATGTGTTTCTTTAGAAGGTGGAGTGGCGTGGGAAGATATTCGATAGCCACAACCAGTGTCAGTGCCAAACCTGCAAGTACCACACAGCGTGACAGCAGCTGAATTCTGAAATCATTGTCTGAACTATTTATTAATATATAAAAGCATTGTCTTTGTTTGTGAGTGTTGTTTTTGTGTTTTTGTGTTAGCGCCACAAGAAGGCCCACTGAGGTACTCTCAAAACAGAGCCAGTTCTATCACACAAACTCCATGAATGAATAGGAGATAAAGTTGACCTAGAGGTGTTTTCACTTATGGAGAGGTGAGCAGAGAGGAAGAGAATCTGTAACGCTTTGAAACTTTGGTGTTTTTCATTTGATACATCTAGGAACATAAGAGATCTGAAGAAAAACACAATCGTCTGGGATCGTGTTTTTCAGGCAGAAGACATGTTTTATTGTTGATGGTAGAGACAGACACGAACACAATGCAAGTGATATTACGCAGCATGGAGGAACGGAGAGCTCCAATCAGATTTTACCACGATGCCAGTAGCTTAGCCTTCAGAAAACAAAAACATTCCAGTGGAAAAAAACATTGTTCAAATTGTTCAAATGATGAGTTTAACTTTAACCACAGATGCTTCAAAGTGTCATGAAATCTCCCAAGATCCTTCATTCGACCCACAGAGGGGAAATTGTAATCCAGTATCACTAGTTACTCAACAGTAGGAATGTGGAGAACAACACACAAGAAAGAATAACTATATACAAAAAAAAACATGAAATACTTCTGAAAGTGATCACTTGGAAATGGGGGTAGGCACTAATAAGCTTTCTTGCTTCAGCCTATTCCTTTTGAGCTACTTTACAACAGTGTAATCTTGTAATAATGAAAAAAAATACGTTTGCAAAATGCTCAAATAAATAACAATCAAATCAAATCAAATCAAATCAAATAAAAAGCTCTAACTTTAGCATCATAAAGAAGCAAGAATATAATACTGTATATTCCAGTGCACGAAATACAGGTGTATCTGTACATGTTACTGTAGCTGCGAGGGTCTGGACAAAGTGTCTAAGGTGACAGTGGATATATATTGTACATTCTGACATTTTTAATCCACAGCTGAATCCTGTCTCAGAATATCGCAATGAGCTGCCACCTCTAACCTATATTCTATTTATCCTTTATTTAACCAGGGAAGTCCCATTGAGATCAAACCCACTTTCTTAAGGTGGTCCTGAACAAGAGGCAGCAAAAGTTACACACGATTACATATTATAAAACAGTTACATTACGGGCGGCACGGTGGCTGAGTGGATAGCACTCTCGCCTCTCAGCAAGAAGGTCCTGGGTTCGAATCCCGGTCGGACCAGGGCCTTTCTGAGTGGAGTTTGCATGTTCTCCCCGTGTCTGCGTAGGTTTCCTCCGGGTACTCCGGTTTCCCCTACCACTAAAAATATGTCCAATAGTTCTAGCATGCGCCTCCTGTACTGGCGACCGCGCTCCCATCTCTGTGTGGAGTGAGAGACAAATGCCCAAAAATTAACAATTGTAAACCGCTTTGAGACTCAGATCTGCAGTGAAAAGGCGGTATATAAATAAATACTTACTTACTTACTTACTTACATGCCAATGAGGATGTCTCTCAATCTGGCCTTAAAGGTACCCTGTGTAATTTTTACAGTTGCACTAAATGAAAAAGCATAAAAACCAATGACGAATGTGACCTCTTTAAGAATATTTACCTCCATCTTGTTTTCGAATTGTTGTCATGGACTTAGAATTTGACTTATAAATGTCCATGAGAGCTGGAGGACTCTACATTTGAATCTGTCATCTTGAAATACAGTGGTTGACAAGGGACAAAAAGGAGTTGGACAGGGAATTAGAGACCACTGTCAAAGACGTCTTATTGTCCTGCGAAGCTACCGTAGTACTGTAGATTACAATATATGATCTCAATGCTAGATGAAAGTAAAAACCACACAGTGTACCTTCAATGACATAAGTTCATTTCTGGTCTTTTTGCAGTATGTTCCATGTAGAAGGAGCAGAGTAAACAGAAGCCTTTTTTCCCAGTTCAGTAGGTCAAATGGTCAGTTGAATGCAAACAGTGAGAACCACCCAAACAAATGGATTACAGAGGTTTCTTTAGCGTTACAACAAAGGTACGGCATATGGAAGGAGCTGAAGTTGGCTGCACCCACTCCCAATTGTCTTCTGACCTGGTAGCAATATTAAATCCATCATCACACATTAGCCCTGTTTCCTCCAACTTGAATTTAGGATCTGAGGGCCGCAATTGACCTGTTTTTGTTCTGTTTTAGTCGATCGATTTCACAGTGACATTTGTTTACTGTTTTATTTGTTTTATTTCTGTCTTTTAATGTTGTTTTGTGTCTGTATTTGTCTGTGCACACTGGAGACTTTTTGCTAACGTATTCCAATGTGTTTTTTTTACTGCAAACGGCAAATAAATAAACTGAACTGAAACTGAACTGTTTGGACATGGCTGTGGACGCGTGAAGAGGGCGGGCCAGTCCCTATATACACACAGGAAGAACATTTAACCAATCAATCAAATAAATGTTATATATAAAGCACTTTTCATATAAATGTTTTTCTGTTTAGTTAAAAACAGTTACATGGATTAATCATGGATGTACATCATGTGGAGGCTTGTCCTTAGCTGACAGGGAACTACAGGGATCATGGTGTCCTTTATTTATATGGTCTCGCTCCGGTCCGTTCACAATGGTTTTTGTAAAACTGATTCATAGTCACTTTGCATGTCCTTACCATAGTGACGCTGTTACACCTATCTCCACCGTTGAAACTAATGTGCCACCACTTTTGCCTTCTATAGGGGTTTTTCAAAATAGCAAGAGGACAGGAAAATGTGGAAAAACATTTACATATGCGATAGCCCGCACTAGCCCTATCCATTAAAGACGCTCCTTCTGAAGTCCGCAGCGGCGGAGGAAAGAAGACGCCAAACAAAAGCATTGGGTAATTCCCTTTCCGGGTCCACCCCCACCAACCCTAAGTGGTTTTGTAAACATGTCAGCGCACGTGCTCATGGACCTTTCGGAGCCGGGACCCGTTCCAACTGGTCCTTACATGGTAAGTCATGGTCTCTCTCTCTGGTTTGTCACCGGTCTGTGGGTGTGAAGAGGGCAGGGCCTGTCTATTAATACAAATACTATTACTTCTAATACTAGTATTACTACTACTGATAATAATATAAATACATAGACTTTGTAACAGATTTTATTAAAACGTTAAGTGTTAGAGAAACAGAAGCACAGGTACACAGCGCAGTGAGCTCCACACAATACTCTTATTTAACATTTTGTGAATTAAAAAAGTGACTTAGAAATTATAAACTCCAAAAATGTCCATGCCCATCGTCCACACTGCTCCAGACGACACAGTCCGTCTGTGGGCCGTATCCAAATGATACAAAAGACACAAGAGCTAAAGAGAGTCACTAACTTACTCTCTTTACCTAGGACATTAATAGGACATGTTACATGTGCAGGGTTTCTCAAACTGGGGGCTGCAACCTGGAGAGAATAGAATCATATTTAGCTTTGTAGTTTAAATGAAAAGTCAGATAAACCTTGTAGGAAAAATGAAAGGAAATGCAAACACAGTTTGAAAAAGAGGCAGAAGCAGATCCTTGATTGACACAACTTTTGAATAACATTTTTTGTGGACAAAGGCTCTGTCTTGCATGGGTAGCATGAATGTAAACACAGCTGACATCAGACTATATAAAAACAGTTATAAAACAAACAACAATAAAAAAACACATGAAATGAGCACATGACAGTGAGTACCACAGTTTGAGAAACCCTGCTTCTATTAAAACATCGACACCATTGTCTTTGTACAGAGCTGAAGAATCATAAACAACTGTTATCAATCATGGCAGTAAAAAAAATAAACATTATCTGCAGTAAGTAGACATGAAAGCGAACAAATAAATACATAATTGGCACGTGTCATGAGAGAGTGCACTGGAGAGAAGCAGCCAGCAGAGGGCAGTGTGAGCTCAGGATTCAGAGCAGGGATGGCCTGGCAAGAAATGCGTTTTGTCATCACAAATTTACAGTAGTTTTACATCAATAAAGGCTCAGTTTAGGACAGAGAGTCAAAGAACGTGATTTGCCTAACGTAACAAAACAAAAACAACCCCTCACAATGATCAGAATGAGGACATACATTTGTAATACACATTTTATTTGTCTTTTTTTTTTATCAATAACGTGTGTACTGTATGTAATATTTTATAAATGCGTTTCCACAGTCTATGTCTTTTCCCGTCCTCTTCTGTACCTGGAGATTTCCCCACTGTGGAATCTATTATAAAGGATCTGTGTCACACTCTATTGACTTAACCTCAAGAAAGTTGGAGTAAAACTTTGTCATTGAGCACTTCTCCCTATTGGGCTTCATTGAGTGAGCAGGTTATTATTGTCCATCTATGCACAGTCTATGGTGTAACACTGTTTGGAAGCTTTGAAATGTCACAGAGAGAATTTTTTCCCAGTTATGTCCAGAGCAACTTAAACAATAAAAGTTGCAGGGCCGTGCCAAACTTTGCCAGGGGCCCGGGGCATTGATTTGAAAACATATCCAGGTCTAGTTAAAAGAAATGTAATCTTTCCAGGTAAGGAGACAAACCAAACCTCTATAGCTTGTACCTTTAGGCACATTACAAAGCAACTGTCACATTCTGCATTTCACTCTGAAGGAGGAACAGTTTTCATGTAGGGCCCCCTGAAATATAGGCAATGGTTTGAAATGGTGAAGACTGATGAATCGTTTTATGTTAAGACCAGAGATAGAGAGACCAGAGAGAGGGTCCAGAGAGAGAGAGAGAGAGAGAGAGAGACCAGAGTGAGGTCATACAGAGAGAGACAAGAGAGAGAGAGAGAGACCAGAGAGAGACCAGAGAGAGAAAGATAAACCAGAGAGAGGCCATAGAGAGAGAGAGACAAGAGAAAGATAGACCAGAGAGAGGCCGTAGAGAGAGAGACCAGAGAGAGAGAGAGACCACAGAACGAGAGAGAGTCAAATATAGTGTTACAGTATGTGGCAC